TCAGTGGCTGAGCTGATTCTCCTGTGACAGATGGCAAACATGGGAAGTGAAGTCAAAGTGGTTAAAATGTAACACAGGGATAACCAATTGGAATCGTACTGCAATCTCAAAGGCTGGCAAAGGCTTTTTGATAAGGATCTGTTGACAGGAACTTGTTCCATCAAATAAATTTGGTGGTGCTGACTGCAGAAAAGTGTGTGAAATATTGCCAGACTTTCCAGGGAGAATCTTTAACAATATTGGTTGCCTGAAGACCAAGAATATTAAAAAATAAGAGAGAGTGATCATTTCCGCCCTGAGGTGTTTCCATGGATAACTCATCTCCATTTCTATTCCCATTCACCCACACAAGTCACTTCTCTGACTTGTTTCCCAGTATTTTCTGTAGTTTTGGAGCCTTTTGGAGAAGAGGTTTCTACTGGGTAGTGGGAAAGCTGTTGGAGATTTCTGTGGTGGGCTGCAGGGTACACAGATTCCTGGGGAGCAGGGATGAAGGAGAGTAACCCCCTTCTCTTCTCCCTCCCTTGTCTGTTCAGGCAGAGCCTGGTGGGTTTGGAGTGCAAGGTGGTGCCAGTTTAAAGACTGGAGAAACAGTGGGATTTGATAGAGAATCTGTGTGATGAAAAGGGATTTGGACATTTTATGGGTAAAAAGCAAGCTTGGGTTGAACGTGCAGTCAGGCTTCTGATTTCAGTGATGGTCAGAGATGTCAGCAGCCGTGGCTGGCAGGTTAATGCCAGATTTTAAAGGCCTTTTATGATTGAATACAGACAAAACCTGAATTATTGATGTGCAAAAGAAGATGTTATTGGTATTTTTGAAGAATGTTTCTGCATAAAATAACAGAAATTGCTCACTCTGGGGATCACTCTTGATAAAATAAGAGGCCAAGCCTGAGAGTCCTCATGTTCAAGCCTGTCTTATATCACTAAATTCTTGTCTCTTTTCAAAGGTAAAAATGCCATTTTCAGAGCTGTGGTCAAAGGTGTCCCAGCTCCTGAGGTGAAATGGTCGCGTATGCGGAAAGGAATGGATGATCCTGCCAAATACGAAATGTCCTTCAATAGTGCTACAAATGAATTCATTCTGCAGGTAAAGATCAAATATATCAGAAAGGACTTCTGGAACTGAGAGAAATGGACAGGAAAAACCTGCAGTGGGATGAGGAGAAGCAGAGGGGAAGCTCCAATCTCTGCTCTCTGTGACAGTGACAGGACCCCAGGGAAGGGCTGGAGCTGTGTCAGGGCAGGCTCAGGCTGGATATCAGGGAAAGGTTCTTCCCCCAGAGGGTGCTGGGCACTGCCCAGACTCCCCAGGGAATGGGCATGGCCCCGGAGCTCCAGGGGAGTTTGGACAGAGCTCCAGGGATGCACAGGGTGGGATTGCTGGAGTGTCCTATCCAGGAGCTGGACTGGATTATCCTATGGGTGCCTTCAAACTCAGGGTTTGCCATGATTCTACACATCCCCAGCTCTGAGATAACTCTAAGATAAGCAAACAAAGCCTTTAGAGCCAGCGAACAAAGCCTTTAGAGCCAGCGAACAAAGCCTTTAGAGCCCCTTGTGGGAACAGAAGAAGCCTCTGAGGTGCCATTGAGTAGCTGCTTTATGAGAAGCTGAAGGTGAGCTGAGCCTCAGCCCTTTCTGTGAGCAGTTTCTGTGCTCTCCCTTTGAAGATCAAGAGCCTGGTTCTGGATGACAGTGATTTGTATCGCTGCTGTGCTGTCAATGCCTACGGAGAGGCCTCGTGCTGTGCTGGCCTCAGGATCCTCCAAGGTAGGACTGGCAGCTCTGGGACTCTCCACAGGCCCCTGTGGTCCCAGGCAGTGGCTGTGCTGCTCCCTGGGTTGGGTGTCCAGGACTTTGTCTGGGTATTCTTGCTGTGAAGGTTTGGTATTCCCCTCCTTGAGGACTGGAGATCTTTTAGTGCCTCACATTGTGAGCTTTAAGGCAAGGGGGAAGAAAGTGGAATTGTGTTCACTGCACTGATCCAATATCAAATGCCCTGGATTTAGTGCTGAACTGCCTCCATCCTTTCTTTATGTTGTTGAATGAATCAGTCCTTTGGGAGGGATCCATCCCTCTGTGGCTGTCTCTGGACCTCGTTCCTGCTTCCCTTTATAGTCAGTTCAGAGAAATGGGCACTTTGTTGGTTAGATATAACTGATATTCTTGGAATCCACTCGAGCAGAAGATATTGCAAGTGTCCATGTCACCTCTGTGCCTTTCAAGTGAATTTAGAAGGTGCCTATCTGCAGTTGCCATTTCCACCTTGGCTCCCCATCCCTAAAACAAGATGTTGATATTTCCTCCCATTGCTTAGACCATAAAAGTGGTAGGGCAAAAATGCTCTCCTCCTCTGTGTGCAGTCTCCAGCAAGCACAGAGTCAATGGCAATAGAACTATCACCTTTATAGATGGAGATTACTGGAGCAAATGTTGGATTGACAAGAAAATTCAAACAAAGGGATTCCTTCTTGCACTGGTAACAGATACAATGATTTCATGGCTCATTGGTTCACTGCTGTTAATCTAATCTTGTTCATCCTATGGCTTGTTTTCCTTCTTTTTCTCTTGTAAATGATCAGTTGGCTTTAAGAGGAAGGCGAAATATGTTCCTGTTCATGCTGCTGATGGTAAGTTAAAGATCTATATATGTATTATATTACCGGGGGGGGGGGCAGAGTGAATAATACTCTGTCTGCCACACTATTGCTACCCCAAACTTGTAAAGACTGGAGTAAGAGAAGGATTAATGAGCCTCTAATGTTCTGTCATCTCTGTTTGCTTGATCTTTTGCTAAAGTGATGATTTTAGACGGTTTTGGGCTGTTCTAATTAGTGATTGTGGAATCATTAGGAAAGGAAAAAGCGATTTGGGGATGTTAAACACATGTGGATCAAACTTGTTAACATGGCTGAAAACAGTGGGTCTCTAGAGAGAAGCCCCTTGGGAGAGATGAACTTCATTGGCACTCAAAGGATGAGCATGGCAGTGAGAACTGACTAAGTTTCATCACAGTTTTTTGGTAAAGTGTGAAAAAAACACCAGAGGAAAAGAACTCTTGAGCAGAATGACCTGTTGTCAGTGGTTATTCTGCATTGTCTTCTTCGGGAGGATGTATTTCACAATGCTGGGCATGTGACCGTTTGTTGTTTCCACCACTCTTGTAACAGAGCTCAAGAAGACACTCCTGGACTCCAAGAAACTGCTGAGGAAGAGGTAAGGCTCTGGACTGAGGGCTGTGCTCCCACTTCTGGATGTTTCTTGGTGGTAGGTGACGGCAGTAACAAAGAGACTGTATTTCTACAGTAGGGGACAGCTCCAGAGACCTTTAGGACAACATTTCTTGTGTCCAAAGTTATGTGGTGAGATTCCCTATGGAGAGACAGGCCATAGCAGCTTGGCACTGCCCACTGGACTGAGAAAAACACAAGGTTCCCACCTCATTTTGAGGGGTATTTCCTCTGCACCACGGGGAAACAGCTGTGTTTCTCTGCTTCCCTGGGTTTAGCTCAGCTTCCTGTGCAAAGGACAACTCTCCATGTACTGCTGGCTCTGGCTGCCCAGGGGATCAGCTCTGGCTCCCAGCCCAGCTGCACTGCCAGATGCACAGGGCAGGATCCTTCCCTTCCCAGGTGGGAAGCTCTAAGGATTGCCTGCTGTCAGTGATCTCTGTGCAGAATCCTGAACAGTGCTATGCTATTACCTGGCCTGGGCCAAACTGCGCCAGAGCCTCTGGTGATAATTCAGCAGTGTGGGAACTGTTCCCTGCACCATTTAATTTGTAGTATAGATACAGAAAACCTGCTCTGGGAGAATCCCAGTCTTTCCTGCCTGCACCTACAGGGCCAAGTGAACTACAGGAATGATGGAGAGAGATGAAAGTGAATTAGGGAGAGAAAAGCAGGACATCTTGTTGTCCGTAAAAATGTCTGAATGTTTCCCCCCCCGGTTCTCAGGGTTGCAGCACCAAAACCAAAGCCCCTGGACAAAGAAGCTGTGTGGCAGCTGTTGCTGCATGCAGATAAGAGAGATTATGAGAAAATCTGTATGAAATACGGAATTGTGGACTTCCGTGGGATGCTAAGGAAGCTGCAGGAGATGAGGAAGGACACAGAGACTGAACAAGACAAGGTAAAATAAACTGAAACAACTCATTTTTAACAAATTGCAGCTTCTGTAAACAGGCTAAATCTTCCTGAATTGCTTTGGAGATGAAAATTTTGTTGTATGACAGTGATTTATGACAATATTTTAAAGAAGTTCCACTTCTTTACTCATGCAGGTGAAAATGCTGGTGAATTTTTTGAAGCTCAGTTCACAGATTTTAGGAGATACTGACTACGGGGTGTTCAGTTGCCTCTGATAAGAATTTGGACCCCAAATTAAAACTGTATGTCCAAGAATAAAAATTGGCCTTCATATACAGGGGCATATAGAGGCCTGGATGGGAGCTGTGGGAGTGACCAGGAGGCAACACATAAAAAATAATTTATATACAGAAGGAAACCGTGGTAACTTACACTGCAACTCACTGTACCAGAACTGTGACTTACAGATACTTCTACTACATAATGCTAGCGGTAGCTCTTTAAAGTAGATTTCACATTAATTCAACAACATAAGAACTTCTGTCATGGCAGCTTTATAATTTACTAGGTTCTTCGATATTTCTTTGCAGTTAATTCACAATCTCAAAAACTTTGAACACATCAAAGTCAATAAGGAGGGAAATGCTACGTTCAGCCTGGAGATGGAGCTGAAAAACAGCAACAGCAACGTTTACCTGCTCAAGGTGAGGGGGATGAGTTGGGCAGCAGCAGCTCAGAGCAGCCCCTCAAACGTTCTACAGAAAAGTCTTCATCTCCTAGGTCGTGGCTGAGAGTAAATAAATGCCTTAAAGTTGTCTGTCTTTTGCAGATCCCTGCTTGGTTAGGGAGCAGTGTGGGTGTGGGGTGATCTTTGGTGGTAAATATCCCTGGGGATTTGTAGGTCCAAGTACAGAGCATGCAGTCAGTTACTGACATCCTTGTGTCTTCAGGAAATTCATAGAACAGTTGAGTTGGAAAGGACCTTAAAACTTATCCCATCCCACCCCTGCCATGGGCAGGGACACCTTCCACTGTCCCAGGTTGCTCCAAGCCCTGTCCAACCTGGCCTTGGACACTGCCAGGGATGGGGCAGCCACAGCTGCTCTGGGCACTCTGTGCCAGGGTCTCCCCACACTCAAGGGGCAAAAGCTACTTTCTTATATTTAACCTGACCATCCTTCAGTTTAAGACCAGCACGCCAACAGTGTCTTTCAGGTTGCAGAAATTCTACAGTTTCATATGAATTTTATTCACTTTCTCAAGTGTGTCGTTGCACTATAATGTCCTCTATGAAAGAAGATCTCTGAGATGTAAAACATTTCCTCTAGATCCATAGTCCCACAGATGGGATCCGTAGGTGCTCAGTGCTGGGTGTGTTTTTCCTGAAAGATACTTTTTAGTCAAATTGTGGTTAGAGGCTTTAATCCAGTGGAAATCAGAATGCCCTGAAGACTAACTATGAATCTTCTGGATCAAATGTATGACATTAAGTCTATGAGCCACAATTTGGCCAATGTAACCCAATGGTGAACTCTCCTGCTCATCCAGCTATGAAGCTGCTGAAATCTAAGCCAAGAAAGTGCTTTTTCTTTGTAGCTGCAAGAACTGTGTATTAATTAAGCTTCAGACCCTTATGTGGGTAGCAAAGAGCTGCTGTTTTGCTGAGTTTCAGGGCCTGGTGCCCTGCTCTGTGCAGGATTCACTGCCCAGACAGTGCCTGTGTGCTGCAAAGAGCCCTGGGCACTGTGAGGTTCCTCATTTATATCAACAAGGGGATTGCAGCACCAGGCTGTCCCGATGTGTTTGAATGCCTGGCACTGTTTGAGCCTTTGTGAGGACACTCCTGCCCTCCCCAGGATGGCGAGCGGCTCCGCTACGGGACAGGGGACGAGTACAGGAAGCACTGCCTGAGGAGAGTTGGCAGGAGGTACTACTTCACTGTCAATGATGTGCAGCCAGAGGATGCAGGGGTGTACCAGGTCAGGGTGGAGGACGTCCCTATCTTCTCAACTGAACTGGATGCTCAAGGTAAGGAATTCAGTTTGATGGATGTGATGTGCAACTGTGACAAAAGTTTATTTTTTTCTTCTGGAAAATTGTGTCTAGGAGCAAGTGCAAAGCTCAGTAACTCCTGACCACCACAGAGGACTGTTTTTGTGCTGCCCAGTAAGGGCTTCTTGTTGGGCACAGGTGAAAAGGAGCAGGAGGGTGATTAAGAGCTTTAGGTGCTACATTTGTAGTCCAAGGGAGCAGCCTAAGCTTTAGTACCAGTCTGGCTGTGGGTGGCAGTGAGCACACTCCTTAACCTACCCCATATTACAGTTTGCTTCTCTAGGCTCAAGATAATAACAATAAATTCAATCCGAGTATCTTGCTGCAGGAACACATCAATGACTGCAAACCGGCAGCACATCAGTGCTGTGAGGTACTAATGTCTCAGAAGATAATAAAGACAAAAATCTACTCTTCTGCTTTTCTGCAGAATTGGACACCGAAGCACATCTGCGTTTTTCCTTTTTCTCAGTAACCCAATGCTCAGAGGCACCACAACTTCCTGTTCTTTCCCCCTTCGCTGTAACAGTTTGATTTGGAGCACAGGAGCAGCTGTTTCTTGCTTTCCCTGCAGCCATCCCGGTGCGGTTCCGGCAGCCGCTCTCGGACGTGCGTTGTGCCGAGGCCGCGGACGCCGAGTTCCAGTGTGAGCTGTGCACGCCCTGCCACGAGCCCATGTGGCTGCACAAGAGCCACCCCCTCCAGGCCAGTGACAAGCACCAGATGTCTGTGACTCCTGATGGCCTGACCCACAAGCTGACTGTCAGGAACGTGGGGCCCTCGGACAGCGGGCTGTACACGCTCGATGCGGGACAGGGCTCCTCCAGCGCATGGCTCCTCGTGGAGTGTGAGTGCTTGGCAGCGGGCTGTTCCCCTGGTGTGTTGGCACAAAACCTTCTTCTCACTGCCTCATGGCTCAGGGAGATGTTGCTCTGCTGGGAAATGAATTGCTGAGCCTCTAATTCCGAAATTATGGCTGAGAAAACTGGGTGTGTTCAATGTGGAGGAGACAAGAGACCCTGGACCTTTCCAGTGCCTAAAGGGGCTCCAGGAGAGCTGCAGAGGGACTTTGGACAAGGGATGGAGGGACAGGACAAGGGCAGGGTTAGGTGAGATATTGGGAAGGAGTTCTTCCCTGTGAGGGTAGTGAGGCCCTGGCACAGGGTGCCCAGAGAAGCTGAGGTTGCCCCATTCCAGGAAGTGTCCAAGGCCAGGTTAGAAGGGCTTGGAGCAACCTAGGATAGTGGAAAATGTCCCTGCCCATGGCAGGGGATAGAATAAGATGAGTCTTAAGGTCCCTTCCCATCCAGACCATTTTGTGAATCCATGATTCTAAATTCTGTTTTGAAAAATGGAGGTCTTGTTTAGACTTTCTTTCCTCTTCAAATGAGACCAATTTTTCCTCTTTTAATTAGTCCTGACAAACCCTACTGGCTTGTTTGCTCTACAGCTATGATGAAGTAGCACGTTCTCCATCAGTTATCAGAAAAAGGCTCCCTATCTCCCCACATGTTTTTGAGGAACCTGTCCCAGTGATCACAGTGCAGCAGGCAGGGGCTCAGGGAGCTTTTGATACTCTCAGTTCTACACTGTCAATGCCATTCTTCTTGCTAGATAATATTTTTCATTCCCAATTAGAGTTAAATATGCTGGAAGGAGCTCAGAGGAAGCTGGGAAGGTGGGAACATTCAGTGCAGGCACATTGACAGTCACTTGGCTTATATTTGTTTGCTTATGAAAAGTGGTTCCTTTGGTTCCCTTTGACTCTGGTTTCCTTTGGGATCCTCCTGCAGCAGCAGAAGGGGTCTCTCTCATAAAGGCCTCTCCAAAGCAATGTAGGTTTCTGAAACAAAGAAACTCCTGTGAATTTCAGGGAGCTGTGGGCTCTGATAAATTATATCTAACCTGGAAACCAAAACAGTGAGTGACCTGCTCTCAGAACAGCCTGAATTTCAGATTAAACCAATGCTATTCACAGATCTGAAAGCTTTAGTCCTCAAGTTGGGCATCCCTAAACCAGCCATTATCCAGGTGTGCAAGCTGCCTCCAAAGCAGTGAAATCCCCGTTCCAGGGTGGGAACTGATGGCTCGTCTGTACATGGAATATTCTGTAACTCCTCCATACCTGGAGGGTGAAGGCAGATGGAATTAATGAATCCCACATGCAATCTCAGCCCCTCTAACTCAGACCTGCCATGCTGGAAATTTCTTTTTCTGTTATTTTTGGTTTGTTTGTTTGTTTGTTTGTTTGTTTGTTTTAATGAGCATGTTTACATTAAAAACCAATGCATCTTAACTAAAAATAATTGTCTTTAATTAACATTTCATTGTCTGAATGTGGCATTGAAAAATTCAGGATCTGAAACTATTTTAAATTTATTTAAATGTATTATGTGTGCGTGTCCTAAAATGAAATTCAAAAAGTGCTAATACATTTTCTTTGGTTGTTGATGCAGTGCATGTTCTATTGACTTTCTGTTATTTTGTTTCCCTCTTTTTCTATAAATTGTAAATCTGCTCCCATGAAACAATGCAATTTCAGATGCCAAAGGAAAGAGGAGACAGGATGAAGGAGAAAAGATTGAAAGGGAAACATCTGAGTGGCTGAAAGAAACAATGGCAGACAACGAAAGGGCGAGGAAGCTTCGGCGCCAAGAACAAGCTGCTGCTGAAGATCATTCTTCCTTTTCCACATCCTCTGGTGTGCAGAAAAGTGGCTGGTACAGAACTGGTCAAGGCAGCAGCCAAGACAGGGGCCAAGGACACTCCATTGGTTCTGATGATGGAAGCCAAAGATTTTTGGGGAAAGAGGGGCTACGCAAAACCCACATAAATGGAGAGGTGGGGTCTGGGCAGTTTTCTGGAGCAGGTCTAGATAGAGACTCAGCAGCCAATGATGGCAGCATCTTTGGACTAAAAGGCTTAGAAGGCAAAAGGTTAAGGCCTGTCCATAGTGTGGACTCTGTGTCAGGCAGAGCAGGTCCTGGTGTGGCAGGAGAGGCAGGCGAATGGAATTCTGTGGATGGCAGAGGTGAAGGTGTGCTGGGTGTTGCTAACATTGACATGGATGATGGAGAAGGTTTGGGCTCTCAGCGTGACAAGGATGGGAATTTAGGTGATGCCAGTTACAGAGCTGGTTTTGGGGATGCTGGGAGGTTGGGTGGTGGAAGATCTGTGCCAAGTGGGTTTGGTCCTGATTCAACTGCAGTGGGAGCCAGTGTGAGTGATCTGTTCAGCAGGACTGTTCCAGGAACTGGAGCTGGAGGGAATGCTACAAGTGCTGGAATGGAAGGAAGAATGAGGTCCCACCACAGCAAGGATGGACATCCCAGTGTGGGTGATGTGAACGGAGCAGATATAAACAGAGAGGGACAAACAGGGACTCCCTATGGCAAAGATGGCCTGACACCTCATGCCAGTGGTCAGTTAGGGCAGACAGGAAGATATGGCTCACTATATGGGCCAGGAGGCCTTCCAGGTGGAGATGGAGCTATACCTGGTGCTGGTGGCAGTTCCACAGGAGAAATGGTGGCTTTGTATGGTCCAGATGGTCAGGCACTGGGAGCAGGTGCTGGCGCTGCTGGTGGAGCTGGTGCAGGGGGATTTGGACCTCCCTATGGAAAGGATGGTGTCCCAGCTGGGGCTGGTGATGCTGGTGCAGGAGGATCTGGAGAGGCTTTGTATGGTCCAGATGGTCGGCCACTTAGAGCAGGTGTTGGTGGTGCTGGTACAGGGGCATTTGGAGTTCCCTATGGAAAGGATGGTCTCCCAGCTGGGGCTGGTTTTGGTGGTGTTGGTGCAGGGGGATTTGGGTATCCATGTGGAAAAGATGGTCTCCCTGCTAAATCAGGTGTTGGTGGAGCTGCAGGTGGTGGTTTTGGAGGTTCAGGATCTCCTTATGGAATGGATGGTTCCCCAGCTGGAGCAGGTGCTGGTGGGTCTGGTGGTACAGGGGGACTTGGATCTCCCTATGAAAAGGATGGTCTCCCAGCTGAAGCAGGTGCTGGTGGTGCAGGAGGATTTGGGGAGGCTTTATATGATGGTCAACCACTTGGAGCAGGTGTTGCTGGTAGTGCTGGTGCAGGGGGATTTGGATCTCCATATGGAAAGGATGGTCTCCCAGTTGGAGCAGGTGCAGGGAGAGTTGGGGGCCCCTATGGAAAGGATGGTCTCCCAGCTGGGGCAGGTGCAGTGGGATTTGGATCTCCCTATGGAAAGGATGGTCTCCCAGCCGGGGCTGGTTTTGATGGTGTTGGTGCACGGGGATTTGGAGCGCCCTATGGGAAGGATGGTTTTCCCATTGGAGCAGGTGTTGGTGGGGCTGGTGGAACAGGGGGACTTGGATCTCCCTATGGAAAGGATGGTCTCCCAGTTGGGGCTGGTGGTGCTGGTGCAGGAGGACTTGGAGAAGCTTTGTATGGTCCAGATGGTCGGCCACTGGGAGCAGGTGGTGGTGCTGGTGTAGGGGGATTTGGAGTTCCCTATGGAAAGGATGGTCTCCCAGTTGGAGC